GGTCCCCTGTAATAGAAGGGCCCTCTGTGAGAAATGACCCCCCCCCTTCAAAATGTGTTTTGAAATCAGAAAATTTCATTACTTTTTCAGTGGAAAATATTCCGGGAACTCCACTATTTAATAGAAATTTTTTGAAACTCTATTTTCGAAGAAATTCTTGCTAAATTTTTGTGAAATTGGCAGATTTTCATGAGCTTTGAAGGAAATTTCGGAAAAAAAACTGGCTGTAATAATAGAAGGGCCCTTCTGATTGGAGGGCCCCTGTAATAGAAGGGCCCTCCGCAGGTACCTTGGATCAATAGAAGGATCGTACCTTCTAATGCAGGTTTTACGGTATGCATTTTTTCCCGAATTTCAATTTTTCTAGATTTTAATAGGATTTGCTAAATTTGTGAATTCTAAATTTCCGAAATTTCAGATCCCCCGAGTACCTTTCAAATTTTCAACTTTTAACACATTGTCCGGTTTTGAAACTTTCTGAAAAACTTTTTTTTCAGATTTTTTTTCGAATTTTGAATTACCGTAAACACTCTAATAGAACGCCACCCAATTCGTCAAATTTGAGCCCATGTATCTCATTTTCTGTGAGCGATATCAAAAAGTGGTCAACTGATAAAATGTTGCTGATATCATGATAAACATTTTATCAGTTGACAACTTTTTGATATCTGTTGAAAGAAGTCAGATAAATAGGCGATGGTCCGGGTGGCGTTCTATTAGAGTGTTACGGTATTTATGATTTTCTTGAAACTTCTAAAATCTTTTTAAACTACGAATTTTTCAATTTCAGCTCAAAAATGGTATCGTTTGTCCAATTGGTCGTTCAAATTCGCGAAATTTTCGAGCACAAAATGGTTGATGTGGATGAGGTGATGAAGTTGATGGGATCGTATAAAAGTGATATTAACGAGTGGAGACGTTTTGCAATTTTCGACATGAACAAGTGAGTTGAAGTTTAGAATTTTGAAAAATTTGAATTTGGAAGCTTTTAAGCTTCAAAGTGAGTATAAATATGACTTACCGTAAGCACTCTAATAGAACGCCACCCGGACCGTCCACTTTGAGCCTAAGTATCTCACTTTTTTTGAAAGATATCAACAAGTTGTCAACTAATAAAATGTTTATCATGATATCAGCAACATTTTATCAGTTAACCACTTTTTGGTATCTTTCACAGAAAATTAGATACATGTGCTCAAATTTGACGATTCGTGTGGCGTTCTATTAGAGTGTTTACGGTAGTTTGGAGCGTCTTTTCCAAAATTCAAAATATTTCTGGATTACTGTAACATTGGAAAAATTTAAAAATTCGGAAGATTACTGTATGTAAATTTTAAATTTGTTTTTTTTCAGATACACCCGAAATTTGGTGGACATTGGAAATGGCAAGTACAACTTGATGATTCTCTGCTGGGGTCCTGGTATGGCAAGCAGGTAATTTGAGCTCCGCCCCTTTTCTGAATTTCTGAACTTCTGAATTTCTGAATTTCTAAATTTCTGAATTTCTGAATTTCTGAATTTCTGAATTTCTGAATTTCTGAATTTCTGAATTTCAGAATTTCTGAATTTCCGAATTTCTGAATTTCTGAATTTCTGAATTTCTAAATTTCTAAATTTCTGAATTTCTGAATTTCTGAATTTCTGAATTTCAGAATTTCTGAATTTCCGAATTTCTGAATTTCTGAATTTCTGAATTTCTAAATTTCTAAATTTCTGAAATTCTGGAATTATGAAATTCTGAATGCCTGAATTTCTGAATTTCTGAATTTCTGAATTTCTGAATTTCTGAATTTCTGAATTTCTGAATTTCTGAATTTCTGAATTTCTGAATTTCTGAATTTCTGAATTTCTGAATTTCTGAATTTCTGAATTTCTGAATTTTTGAATTTTTGAATTTCTGAACTTCTAAGCTCCGCCCCTTTTTTTCAGTGTCCACGACCATACCGATGCTCACTGTTTCGTGAAAATTTTGGATGGCGAATTGACGGAAACAAAATATGACTGGCCAAAAAAAAAGCACACCCCACTGGAAACAATTGAAAATAAAACATATGGATTGAATGGGGTGTCTTATATGAATGGTTGGTTAATTAGAGGGTAATTAGGGGTAAAAATGTAAGTTTTCGAAAAAAAAATTCTGGAAATTTCAGACGAGTTGGGTCTTCACCGAATGGAGAATCAAAGTCATTCGAATGGAGCCGTCTCACTTCACTTGTACATTCCACCCTACAGTACCTGCAACGCCTTTGATGAGGTACAGTAATCCAAAAAAAACAATTTTCGAGTTTTCCCAAGTTTTGAATTTCTGAAGTTCTGAATTTCTGAAGTTCTGAAATTCTGAAATTTTGAATTTCTTGAATTCTGAGATTCTGAGATTCTGAGATTCTGAGATTCTGAGATTCTGAGATTCTGAGATTCTGAGATTCTGAGATTCTGAGATTCTGAGATTCTGAAATTCTGAGATTCTGAGATTCTGAGATTCTGAGATTCTGAAATTCTGAGATTCTGAGATTCTGAGATTCTGAGATTCTGAGATTCTGAGATTCTGAGATTCTGAGATTCTGAGATTCTGAGATTCTGAGATTCTGATATTCTGAGATTCTGAGATTCTGAAATTCTGAGATTCTGAGATTCGAGATTCTGGAATCATGATATTCTGAGATTCTGAAATTCTGATATTTAGAAAATCGGCAATTCATAAACTCTGAAGCTCTAAACTCTGAAGTTCTGAATTTTTGAAATTTTCAAATTTCGAAATTTTCAAATTCCCGCCTTTCTGAAATTTTCCCTTTTCCAGAGAACCGGAAAAAAGACCAAATGCACGGTGACATTCTACTCGAAATACGGAGAAAAAATCGATTATCATGGATCGAAAGAAGGGAAATAAACTTACTGAATTTTATTTTTTTTTCTAATAATCTTCAGTTGTAAGATTTTTAAATTTTTCCTTGTAATTTGGATTTTTGCGAATTTTTGAAAATAAAGTTTCTTGAGCACGATTTTCTATTTTTGAGAAATTCAGAAATTTCGAAATTGCCGCGAATTTCCAAAATTTGCGAAATTCAGAAATTAAATTCTAAAATTCAAATTTTCAAAGAATTTAGAAGAAGCTAGAAGTTTCCAACTTACCGTAAAACCTGTATTAGAAGCCCTTATATTTTTCCAAGGTACCTCCGGAGGTCCCTTCTATTTTTACAGCCAGTTTTTTCCGAAATTTCCTCAAAGTTCATGAAAATCTGCCAATTTTACAAAAATTTAGCAAGAATTTCTTCGAAAATAGAGTTTCAACAAATTTCTATTAAATAGTGGAGTTCCCGGAATATTTTCCACTGAAAAAGTAATGAAATTTTCTGATTTCAAAACACATTTTGAAGGGGGGGGGGGTCATTTCTCACAGAGGGCCCTTCTATTACAGAGGACCCTCCTATTACAGGAGGCCCTACTATTTTCTAAGCCCCTCTCGGAGGGCCCTTCTATTAGAGGGACGCTTCCATAAGGGGTCCTTCTAATACAGGTTTTACGGCAGTTAAAAAATGTTGGAAAATTCAATAATTCTAAGATTCTAAAGTTCAGAAGTTTGGAAATTCGAAAATTCTGAAATTTTTGAAACTTTCAGAAAACAAAGAAAATTCCAAGAAAACATATGGGAAATTTGCAGAAAAAGATCAGGATCGAAAATGAATCAAAATCGAAAATCTTTAGAAAATCCAAAGAAAAATCGGAATAGATTTTGGCATGGATAACATCGAATTCTCCGGAAATTTTGAGATAAAATCTAAGAGGAAAATATGTAGAAATTTTGATGTAAGACACTTTCGAAGGCATTCTTCTGAATTAGTCAGAAGGGGTTATTTTTCACAGAGGGCTCTCCTATTAGAAGGGCCCTTCTATCACAGCGGGACCTTCTGATGGAGTTTTATCAATTTCAGAATTTAATGACTTTCAGGAATCTTACAATCAGTTTTTTTTTCAAATTTCAGATATCTGGAATTCTTTCTTCAAATCTCGATTTTTCCAGAAATTTGTGAATTCCCGATTCACGTTTATACATAAATTTTCAAAATTTGTGGATATATTCTAGCCAATTTTTTCAAATTTTTTATTTGTTTTATGACTCGATAATCTTCGTTTTTGATTGACAGAAAAACGGGACAAACACCAACATTTTTGAGCTGATAAGAACTTTTTTCCGATTGATTTTTCATTTCGATTACTATTTTTGACCAAATTTTGGCAGGAATTTTTTTTCCGAACTTTTCTGGCCATTTCGAAAAAAATGACGGACCCTCCTGCAAAAAATTTTTCGATTCGCTTGGAATTTCGAAATTTACAAAGTATGATTTATGCGAAAAAATATTATGGAGTCACTGAAAATCACTTTGGCCTTGATTGGTGAGTTTCTAGTTTCAAATTCCGAAATTCTGGAATTCTGAATTTCTGAAATTATGAAATTCTGAAATTTAGAAAATCAAAATTTATCATGAGAAAATCATTTTCGCTTCAATTTGTGAGTTAGGTTTTTTCTGGAATTTTCAGGTAATATAATAAAAAAAATCAAAAACTCGAAAATTTGAAAGTTCAAAAGTTTTACATTTGACAATTTCGAAACTTCAGCATTTTTCAAACTAAAAATTTTTGGAATCACGGATTTTTCGAAATTTTCGCTTTTTTTGGATTCAATGATTTTCTCAAAACCTTGAAAATTCTCAATGTCTGAATCTTTGAAATTTTGAAACTCCGAAATTCTGAAATTCGGAAATTCTGGAATTATGAAATTCTGAATTCCTGAATTTCTGAATTTCTGAATTTCTGAATTTCTGAATTTCTGAATTTCTGAATTTCTGAATTTCTGAATTTCTGAATTTCTGAATTTCTGAATTTCTGAATTTTTGAATTTCTGAATTTCTGAATTTCTGAATTTCTGAATTTTTGAATTTCTGAATTTCTGAATTTCTGAATTTTTGAATTTCTGAATTTCTGAATTTCTGAATTTATGAATTTTTAAATTTCTGAATTTATGAATTTCTGAATTTCTGAATTTTTGAATTTCTGAATTTCTGAATTTCTGAATTTCTGAATTTCTGAATTTCTGAATTTCTGAATTTCTGAATTTCTGATTTTCTGAATTTCTGAATTTCTGAATTTCTGAATTTCTGAATTTCTGAATTTCTGAATTTCTGAATTTCTGAATTTTTGAATTTCTGAATTTTTAAATTTCTGAATTTATGAATTTCTGAATTTATGAATTTTTAAATTTCTGAATTTATGAATTTCTGAATTTCTGAATTTTTGAATTTCTGAATTTCTGAATTTCTGAATTTCTGAATTTCTGAATTTCTGAATTTCTGAATTTATGAATTACTGAATTTCTGAATGTCTGAATTTCTGAATTTCTGATTTTCTGAATTTCTGAATTTTTGAATTTCTGAATTTCTGAATTCCTGAATTTCTGAATTTCTGAATTTCTGAATTTCTGAATTTCTGAAATTCTTTTTTTCTGAATTCCGGAATTCCTGAATTTCTGGAATTTTGAAATTCCGGAATTCCTGAATTTCTGAATTTCCGCATTTTCTTGAAGTTATAAAATTTGATTTTTCAGTTTCTGCTGTCTCAGTCTTCACATTTTCGATCAACAATTCCTGATAATGATAAGAAAATCATTGAAATTCTATTATCAAATATTAAAATTGAAGATTTCATTGAATTTCAAGACGTTCTTCATGGCCGTATACAGATTTCCGGTACAGTTTTATCGATTTATTGATTCATCAAGTTTTCAAAAAATAATTTCTGAAATTTCAGATCAAAATGTGAATCCAGTTTTGGAGATCGCCAAAAAGTATTCATTTGAATTTGTTTTGAAGAAATGCGAGAATTTTTTGATCAAAAATTCGAATTTTTCCACTGTGGAGAAAATGAAAAAATTGGCCAGAGAGTTTGATTTGGAAGAATTGCAAGTGAGTTCAAAAAGTCGGAATTTTAAAAATTTTCAGGAATTTCAGATTCAGAAGTGCTGAAAATCTGAAATTCTGAAAATCAAAGAACTCTAATTTTCCAGGACCATCGAAATCTTTGTACGAATCCGAAAACTGTGCAATTTCAACGGATTCTCTCAAATGTACAGTATGCTATGAAATCTTTCCCGGAGCTCCAATAATTGTTCAATGCGGCCATAGTTTTTGTATTTCTTGTTTGGAAAACTTGAAAAAATCTTCGGTAAGCTGTATTGTGTCGTATGCCCTTCAATCAATTCAATAAAAAATATATATGAAAAAAAGTTTTTTTTTTGAACAAAGAAGTGGGTTTAAATTTGAAATTTCAGTCTGCCTACTGTCCGATTTGCCGAAAATATGTCAATTTTTCGACTGCTGTTCCAAACTTTACCCTGAAAAATGTACTGGATAGTCTGGAAGAACTGGGAAAAAATGAGAAAAGGCCATTCGAAAATACGAAAAATATCACGGTTTTTTTTTTTGAAATTTTCAACATGGTGGCCTAACTTTCGCAAGTGGGGTTTTCTAGGCCACCATGGAAAAATGGCCTAACATCCAAAAAAAATTTCCAGATTGAACGTCTTCAGGAGCAAAATTCTCAACTGGAAAGAGAAAAAGAAACGGCGAAAGATGATTTGAGATTTGCAGAAACGTTCATAAACGATTATTGGTCACAAATTCAGCATTTGAAGGCACAATCAGCCCAAAGAAATTCGACAGCCAGGAAATATAAATTTTTGTTTTTTGGACTTTGTGGACTTTTAGTGATTTCGATTTATCAGTATTATCAGTTAGAATTATCTATCACAAAACAAAAATGTTGGTTTTTTTAATTTTAGAAAACTCTTCTTATTTTACTATTTTCCTATATATCTTATATCTTTTTGACTTTCAATAAATTGCATTTTTGATTTTTTGATTTTTTCCTTCTGTGTTTTTTTTCGTTTTTTTTTTTAGATTTTTCACTTTTTTCGAAATAAGCAACTTTTGGATTGCTCATCTCTATTTTTGACAGAAAAAGTTTCAACAATTTATGACAAAAAGAGCGTGCGTGGGGAATTTCTATAGAGCGAAAAAGTTTTTTTGAAAATTTAATAGATTGGTCTATTCAAAATTTTGTTGCTCATAAAACTAGAGGACCAGAGCAGTCGAATTCAGTTTTTGAAATTCAAAAAAAAATGAAATTTCTGTTATTTTTTTTTATGTTTATGTTAAGTAGAGCAACTCAAAATGAGGTACTTTTTTTTTTAATCTGAAATTCCAAAAGTTTCGAAAAATCCCGAAATCGATCCCTGGGTCCTTAGGTCCCTGGGTCCCTTTGTCCTTGGGTCCTTGGGTCCCTAGGTCCCTGGGTCCCTGGGTCCCTGGGTCCCTGGGTCCCTGGGTCCCTGGGTCCCTGGGTCCCTGGGTCCCTGGGTCCCTGGGTCCCTGGGTCCCTGGGTCCCTGGGTCCCTGGGTCCCTGGGTCCCTGG